ATTTAAAACCGATTTATTGATAACCGAACCGATCAATTTTTTGATCATTTCAGTTCGGTTTCGGTTCTCAAAATTAAAAAAAAAAAATTTCGGTTATTTCAAAATCGGTTTCGGTTTTAACCAAAACCGATTTTTGCCCACCCCTACTTGAGAGGCTCTTCCACATTGAATAATTCCACTCATTTTTGTCGTTGATTTATGTCTTGTTTTTTACATTACCAAGACTAGAAGCGGTGAAATATTAAACTTTGGCTTACAAAATTCTATTTCTTCTACATTCAGAGTTCCCTTTCTTTACTCTTTTTTCTCTTAAATGCAATAGATTCCAATGCAGGATTAATTATATAAATAATCAGATCAGTTTGTTTTTCTTACAGCATAGAAAATAAAATTTTAAGAAAATTTGAAAATAAAAATCTATTACAAGTTTAGATACTAACACATAAACAAGTAGTAAAATACTAATTAACTAAGGATATATATATATATATTATGCAGCATGCACTATTAATTTATTAATTTAAGAAGTTAGGACATTAACAACATTATTGTGAATATGTAGATGCACATTATCGTACAATAAGCAACATAATAATGTATTCCAAATTATCCCTTAGAGCATAAATATTAAAAAAAAAACTCTCACTAAGTATGAAAGTCATGTTAATTGTAATTTTATCTAATAATTTCGAAATTTAAGATAGAGAAACACAATTTAATTAATTCTAAGTTCAGCTAATTTGTAAAATTAGTTTCAATTTCTAAACAACGATCTAGGACACAATTTTCGTCAACCTGATCCGCTTCAAACTTTATTATTGAATTTTCTCTCAATTTATTAATTTTCAAGTGACAGTCAAGAAATCTATATATAATTTACTAATTTTTCCTAAGATCTAGTAATATTTATATTCTAATTTATCAAGTTTTGTATTTCTACACAAATCTAAATAAGTAGAAATATTATTAAGTCTTACAATTTTTCTTTTAAAATTGTATATAGATATTATGAGTATATTTTTATTTTTAACTTATATTATTCTATTTAAGGATTCAACTCTAATATATTTTTTTAAGATATATGCCAGCTATTTAAATAATTAAGTGATCAAGTCAACTAAAAGCATTAAACAAGTGCTGGAAACCTAATTGTAATAGAAGTGCAACCAAGTCTAAGCAAGAACGACTTAGTGTTAATGTGCTGGAAATCGCCCAAGGTATCGACACGCTAAACAAATGCCGACACTTTCACTGTATTCTCGAAAAGAGTTCGTGTCGGAATTTTGGCCTTGAAAGCAATTTTAACTCTTCATTGGTAAAATGGTTTGGATCCCTCATACTTTTAACAAATTGACACTTTGATCTTCCTAATCTTGATTTATTTGGTTTGGTCTTAAGAATTTCAGTTTCTTGTAATTTAATCCTTACCTACCCAAAAATAATTAAACATACGTAAAATCAAATAAAATAAACCTCAAACAATTCAAAGAACTAAAATTTAAAATTAAAAACATGTAAAAAATATATAAAATTTAGACTTATTAATAATCTAGAAAAAGGTAGATGTTGGTGTAATAGATTTCAATGAACAATGATAAAGTAGAGAAAATGTGGTATAAATTTGTAGAATAAAAAGCATAACTAAATATAGTAAAACTTTAATTTAAAAAAGGAATTTCAACTAAGCAAAAAATAAAATGCTAATTTACAAAAAAATAAAATACTAATTTATTAACAAACTGAAATACAAAATATGAACATACAAATTACTCCAAAATAATAACAAATGATTTGAAACACAATCATTAATATAATAAAAAAATGTATGTTGCATTTCTTTCAAATTGGAAAGAAACTGATAGATAGCATCAGTGTTGACTAACACAACACTCGTACTCTTTGGTCAAGAAACAAAAGTGTTCCCTTCTTTGCTGTTAATTTCGGTATTAAATAATTAATCTATAAGGTCAATGAAGAGGTTGATTTGGATCTATTATGTACATCTTCCAAAGAAGAGGTTTGCTTCTAAGGACCTAGTTTTTTTTACGAACCATTGATGCAGCTTCTGCGCAGAGAAATCCGAGCATGGTTAGAAAAACATAAAAGCAATATCTTCAATGAAATAGAAATAAGGGGAGAAGAAAATTGCCAATGACATCTGCATGCAGCATTCACAGCATTATACTCAAGTTTCACATGTTAGATAACGCCAATAGAAACAATTCTTCTTTAAACTATGGATAACGAGAACATGTCTGATTTAAATGAGTGTTTGATCAATGATTGATTTAATAATGGTATAATTCCTATTAAGGACCAATTTTTAACTTGAAATGCAAGCAAATAAGAAGACATTTTACGAAGATGCATGGTTACTCTGCTTAGCCTAAGCCCAAACAACTCATAGATGGATAGAGCAAGAATGATAACTTAATGATATTTTATTCTGTCCAGAGGTCAGGATGGCACTTGAAATTATTGAAATCGTTCAGAGTCTGAGTGATGAATGTGTGACCATGATAACTTATATGATATTATGTATTCTTCAAGAATTTATTAATCCTTTCCAACATTTTATTATTTATTGTACACATTGGAACTGGATTATTATATCAGGCCATGTTATACATAAAAGATCCTTTATCAGCTCTCTTAAGGTTTATATACCATCTTCAGAAAGCTCTCCACTAGGAAGAAATTTTTTAGGAAATTCTGTATTCAGTTGTTGAAATAACTATTGGAAGTAACAACAATAAATTAAATATGATTTTGCCTCACTGTTATATATTTGTATTTAGAGATAAAAAGTGTAGCAAAAATATATATATATATAAAGTAAAAGTATTTAGATGATTAAACATACCATATACTTTAATATAATATCTGATTTAGAATCACAATTTTAGTAAATAATTTCAAGACAGTCAACCAAGAAAATTCATTTTGTGAGTGTTATGAA